GAGAGGGGGGTCTTCAGAGAGACGGGGGATGCCTGGAGCATCGACTTGGGGAGACAGGCTTCCAGGTAGGAAGGCAGACAGTGGACAGGCTCATCGGTAAGGGTCCGTGAGCCTCAGCATGGTGGGTTAGATGAGCGTGTATCTCATTAAAGGCAGCTGTTCTCTGCAGCTTCGTTTAGTTTTATTTTGAGCACAGTCTCACCTAGGCCAGGCTCGCCTTGAGTTCTCTTTGAAGCTGAGGATAGCTTTGAACTTCTGACCCCACTGCCTCCATCCAGAGTTCCACGAATACAGCCCTGAAGCATCCTCCCAGTTTTATGCTGGGGATCAAACCCAGGGCTCGCAACGCTGCCCACAGAGCCACATTCCCACCCCTTCCATCTTTTTTAAAACACATTTTAGGGTTCCAGCTCTGGGGTGGGGTGGGCGTTTTCCTATTCAGGTGATTGACCAAGTGAGATTAATTGTCAAGATTACAATGGTAGCCAGGTGGTGGAGCGGACGCCTTTGATCCCAGCACTCCCACGGCAGCAGAGACAGGTGGATCTCTGAGAGTTCCAGGCCAGGCTGGTCTACAGAGTGAGTTCCAGGACAGCCAGGGCTACACAGAGAAACCCTGTCTCAGAAAATTAAAACAAACAAACAAACAAATAAATAAATAAATAATGAAAAAGAGCAATGTGTCCCTGATGTCTCAGAATCCTGAGTAGTTCAGATGATGTCTCCACACAGGCCAGAAGTATGATTCAGGTCCCTTTTGACCAAAAACTCTGTAAGAATAGATTTAAACAAAGAAGAAGAAAATCCACAGAGTCATCTTATCAGTGAGAAGCTTTCCCTGGGTCTCAGCAGAGAACTTAGGGAAATTAAATCTTAAGGAGGGGCACCTGGGACACTCTTCCCTTTCTGAGGCACCAGTGTGTTACCAGGGAAACGGGAGGCCGCGTCCAAAGATGGGGGGGGGGGGTCTGTGATAAACAGCCCGAGGAAAGAGACTTAAGGGGGGGAAAGTCTTATTCTGGCTCCACCGCTCCCAAGGGACGCAGTCCATCATGGTGGCCGGAGAAGCCGCTGGTCACACTGCACTCAGGAAGCAGGCAGTGAACAGGAAGAGGGGCAGGCTATAGAACCCCAGGGTCCACCTGCAGTGCCCCCTCTCCCCACCTCCTAAAGGTTCCCCAGCCTCCCCAGACAATGTCACCAGCTAGGAGCCAGGTATTCAAACATATGAACCTATGGTGGGGACATTTCACATTTAAACCACAGTAGGACCCCGTCCTTGGCCACCTACGAGCCACAGCCAGTCTGGCTGTCGACTGGGCCCTGGATTGTGTCCTGTGAAAATGCTGGGTGGCCCCGTGTGGAGGGTCAGCTCTGCTTCAGATGCCGTGACAGACTGTGGGCTCCAACCTCACATACTCCTCTGAGTATGGAATCCATCTCTATCCCATAATCTGGAAGGCTTCTGGGTGAATTAGTTTGGAGAGATGGTTGTAAAGCCGAGGATGGACCAGCTGAGAGCAAGGTCCTCTTAGTAGGGCAAATGTTTGACTTCAAAAGAAAACATTTCAAAGAGTGTATTGGCTCTTACCGTCAAAAAACCAAAACCAACCAAACAAAAACCAGGGAGGACTGGGGTGTGGCTCCGTGGGTAGGGTGCTTGCCTAGTGAGCAAGAAGTGCTGGGTCTGATCCTCAGCATCGAAGAAATAGGGCATCACAACACAGGACTGTAATTCTAGCACTTGGGAGGTTGAGGCAGGGGGATTGACACAAGTTCCAGGCCAGCCTGAGCTTTGTAGTAAAACCCTCGAAATAAAAATAAAGCAAAAAAAAAAAAAAAAAAAAAAAAAAAAAAGGATGAAACCTGCCAGGCAGCTGTGGGTTCCAGGGCTACCCAGTCCGTGGGGCAGGAAGAACCACATCACCCCACAGGACACTGTAGTACAGTGTGTGTAGCCCCGTTGACCATCCGGGTGCCCCGGGGTCTTCTGCACGGAGGTTGGACAGTGCCACTGTAGAATCTCCATTGTTACAGCAAGTGCTGTTGTGTTAACATTGGCCAGAGCTATCCCCACAGGCTTCCTGGAGGAGGCAGATGATGTCAGGTAAATGATTCTGGGACAGTCCCTGGGGTGCGCTGCTCTCTGTACCAGAACCGACAAGCCAGGGCCTGGGGTTCTGGCTCTGGGTAGAATGGGGAACCTGACACTCCCTGCTCGGGGTGCAATCTGTGGGCATGTGTGGCTGGCAGTCTCTCATCTGGCCTCAGTACAAGAGATTGTGGAGGAGTCTCCCAGGAAGTCTGGCCCCACGAGGACCCAGGTGCCTCTGGGAGTTGTAGTTTTTTTTTTTCAGTCTTCCCTCTGCTTGGCTGGAGCTGACAGACTGCAGGGTGGGGATGGGGTAGTCACAGGCGACATGTCTGGGTTTGGGGTCTGTGGGGGTGTCGGGAAAGACACCATTGGTTCCCTTCCCTGCTTATATTCTGAGCTAGGCTGGCCATGTCAGGTGGGAGGACTCCCTTGGCACGGGAGCCAAGAACCACAAATGTCCGGCTACTCAGAAGCACTCCGACACGTATCTTGTCACTAGTGATTTGCACATGAGAGACAGGAACTTTCTCGAAGGTTCTGGAACAGACACAGCACATGGTGGAGTAGCACGGACTGGCCATTTGTGGCCCTGCATATCTGTTCATTGTGCTCCCACTGTGTACCCATCCCGAGGTAGGCACTGTGAATCAGGTGGCCGCCCGAGGAGCTTTCTGAAGTATCTCTAGAGAGAAGACTTTTGTTTTAAATTTATTTTATATTTTTTTATCTGTAACATAAATCTTAAAGGGTCTTATTAATAAAAAAACAGGGGAGCCAGATATTGGGGTGAATGCTGAAAGATCAGAGAAACAGAACCAGCCACAGCTAACCTCACCTCACCAATTCTTCAGCTGATCCTGTTTCCTCAGACTGGAAGCCTCTGTGTCCTCATCCAGAATGGGTCTCAGCTGAACTGCTGCTCAAAAGCCTGAAAGCTTAACCAACCCTAGTTCCTGGTCCTCATGCCTTATATACCTTTCTGCTTCCTGCCATCACTTCCTGAGATTAAAGGTGTGTGTGTGTCACCATTTTCTGGCCTCTATGTCTATCTAGTGGCTGTTCTGTTCTCTGGCCTCAGATAAGTTTATTAGGGTGCACAATATATTGGGGGGACACAATATCACCACATTTCCCCTTTATGTCTAAAATAATAAAAGAAGCTTATAACTATATCCAATAAGTATATACAATATACACAGTCAAGAATTACATTAACCATGTCCAGTCCATTAACATTTGACAAATTCAAACAAAAAATTTCATTGTTTATCTTATTTTGATGAGTCCAATACAAAATTTGTATACAATACAGAAAAATCCAATGTAAAATATTTAAAACAAGTAGTACCTTTATAAAAGTAGATTCAATAATCTACCTTTTTACCTTATCCTATCCATTTATCCTTTTTGGTTTTCCAAGACAGAGTTTCTTTGTGTAGTACTGGCTATCCTGGAACTTGTTCTGTAGACTAGGCTAGCTCGAACTCAGGGATCCACCTGCCTCTGCCTCCTGAGTGCTGAGATTAAAGGTGTGCACCACCACACCCAGCACACAAACTATTTTTTTTATAATAACATATAAACTCTATAAAAGGCCTGCTTTTAGGTGGAATTTCATCTTGCAAACCAACCATTCAAACTGCCTCAAAGAACTCCCCCTGGGGGTGGCAGTCATATTTGACACTCACTGAGATGGGTCCAGTTGATAACTGTGCCCATGGCATCCAGATGATCCACACCACTGCTGGGCTCTGTCCCTATGGACAGGCCCCTGGGGAGCCTCAGGTGGATCCTGAGTATCATAGAAGGTGTCAGTCCTTACTTCAAAAGGGTGAAACTCATAGGATTGGGTGAGCTGTACACACACACACACACACACACACACACACACACGCACTCACACACCCCATCAACAATTTGAGGCAAAGAGAAGGGGAGAGCAGCAGACCGCTCTCCTGAAGCCACACTGCTGCTTGGGTCCCTGTCTCTCCTTTCTTGAGGTTGGGCTGGCTTACAATAAAGGCATAAACCACGTCCCATTACTCAGGTTGGGCTGTTTCCCCTGGGAGCACATTTCATAAATAAGATTCAATTTTCTCATGCAATGTTTCTCCCTAATGCTGATGAAGCCCCATGAGAACCTGGATCCTGCCAGCCGCCTTAGAGCTGAGTCTCCAGAGCCCAGCATACAAAAGGTACTTAGAAAAGGCAGTGTTGGCTGGCTGGGGGGGAGGGGGGAGTCCCTGCTCCTTGGGGGAAGGAAGGGAACTGAGGAGAGAGAATGGATGGGACCCAGGAGCTCAGACCTGAGCAACATAGGGATACCCTGAAAAAGGAGAGGAAGGGAGGGAGGGAGGGAGAGAGACAGAGAGAAACAGAGACAGAGACAGAGAAAGAGAGAGCTCTGGCTTGCAGAAAACTAGAGTTCAGTTGCCAACACCCTTCCATGAGCAACTCCAGTTCCCGGGGATCTGTCGCCCTCTCTGGCCTCTGCCGGCACCTGCACTTACATGAGCGTACACACATAATGAATAATAAATCTGTTTGTTTGTTTGTTTGTTTTAAGAGAAAGAAAAAAGCAAACGGGTAGATACGATTAATGAAATGAACAAGGCAGCCGACCAAGGAAGCCTCACTAGCAAGACCTCTCTGGTGGGCCGTGCTCTGCCACCCCCCCCAGGACAGCCAGTAGGGCTCCACGTGGTGGCGCACAGTAGGTTCTCCAGGGAACCCGGGACCCTGGCGCAATGCCGCGTCTGTCCAGCAGGGGGCGCGCCTCGTACAGGCTCGCGGCTCCGGGGGGGGGGGGGGAGGGAGGGGGGGCGCCCTCGCTCCGCCCCTCGCTGCTCCGCGCAGGCGCCGCCGGGCGCGGTTGCCACGGCGACGGGGCGCTTCCCGCCCGAGCCCCGCCCCCAGTGGCCAGGCTGCGCGCGCCGCGGCAGGTGCGGGCCGGGCAGGTGCGGCGCGGCGGGCCCCTTGCGGTAGGTGCGCGGAGGGCGCGCGGGCGGGCGCAGGGTGCGCGCGCGCGCGCGGGCGGGGACGCGCGGGGGGGTGCGCGCGGGCGGGCGGGGACGCCCACTCCTGCCCGCGGGGCCGCGTGGAAAGTTGGCAAAGTTGGCGGAGGGCGAAGCCGGGGAGCGGGGAGGCGCCGCGTGCGGAGTCCCGCTGCGGACTTTTTTTTTGGGGGGGGCGCGGGGGGAGGAGATCCCGTTGCATCTGCGGCCGGGGAATGACGGCGGAGGACGCCTTAGAGCTGGCTCCGCTCTCTCCCCAGCCCCCACGCGCGTCCGCGGCGCGCGCGCGTGGCTCGGAATCGCTCCGTACCGGGGCACCGTGCAGGCCAGGGCTGCTGCCCTTCCTCTCGGGCCGGGAAGCCGTGGCCTTTTGCTTTCGGAGGGAGGGACGCGCGGCGCCTGTTGCAGAGAGCGAGCTGCCCCTGGAGGCCCTGGCGACTGGCGCTGGGCCTGAGCCCTGGTCCCCGGGGTCGCGCCCTCCCGGGCTGGCGCGCGCACTGCCCCGGTCCGCGGTGACAAAGATGGGTGTAACTTGGACTTTTTTCTTCCACCGAGGCGAGTCGCGGTTCCAGGCCGCGCGCGCAGAGAAGCGCTGGGGCTTGGTTAATCAGTAACCGGGACTTAGGTCTGGAGGCTGCGGGCGGCCAACTTTCTCCCTGCTACCCCGCGGGGCGGGCGTGCGGCCAGGCTGGCCTCTGCAGACACCCGTGTCCGGGTGGGTTCCGGGGAGTCCCTTTCAAAGGATGGAGGCTCCGCAGACACCCCGTTTTGGTGGGTCCCGGGGCGGGGAGGAGTCCCTTTAAAGGTTTTAGGACTTAGCAGGAGTGCGCTTAGGCCTGAGAAGTGCAGAGCCTGGACGCACGCACCTCCCCCGCTGTGTGTGTGTGTGTGTGTGTGTGTGTGTGTGTGTGCGTGCGCGCGCGGCCACCGGGGTCCATGCGAGTCCTAGGGAGTCAGTGTGCACCGGCCCAGAGCAGTTCGGAATCTGCCCCTCAGGGATGACTCCCTGGCCACAGTCAGCCTGCCCCGCGTCTTTGTGGATTTGTGATGTTGGGGGTGCAGCCCTCACCCCAGACTCTGAGCTAGACAACCCTCCCCCTACCAGGGACTCCTGGTGGCTGTTAGTACTTATGCTCACCTGAGCGGGTGTGTGTGTGTGTGTGTGTGTGTGTGTGTGTGTGTGTGTGTGTGTGTGTGTGTGTGAGGGGATTGGGGGTTGGGGAGTGCAGGGGCCAGTGGTCCATCCCTGGTCACGTGACCCCTCTTAGCCTCACCACGTTGTACCAACACACAGAATGAGCTCCGGATGTTGCCTACATCCGTTCGTCTGAACTAATTGTCATTCATTCACTGAGCAAATGGTTCGAGACACCCAGTCACAAGGACTGGGTTCGAAGTCACATCCTGAAGGGGTGAATCCTTGGTCTGTCTGGGAAGACAGCGTGGGGAGAGCGGAGGAGGGGGCAATGACCTGGGACAAGAGGGGGATCAGGGTCTGGGGCAGAGAAGGGTGCCAAGGAATCGAACTCAACTCCTCTGGCTTGGTGGCACGTCCCTTTCCCCACTGGGTCATCTCACGCCTGTGGTGCCTTGAGAAGGCAGCGGTTCTTCATGTATATAATGGTCCCTTCGCTCCTTCATGGGGGTGGGGATAAGGCAGGGCGTGGGGAGTGTCTGGGATGGTTCTGATTGTGTGAGCTCAGGTGTGAGCCTAGGAGGATTGTCATGATAGCCTGTCATCAGACATGTTCCAGGTGGATGGTGCCTTGCCGAACCTGGCTCATGTATGTATGTGCCTGTGCCTGTGCATGCCCGAGGGTGTGTGTGTGTGTGTGTGTGTGTGTGTGTGTGTGATGTGGTCAAAGGTGACATTTGGGCTGAGCCTTGAAGGCTGTGTAGGACGTAGGACAGAGGCAAGGGTGGGTGAGGCCTAACTCCTGGTCCTGCCCAGAGTGTAGGGCGTGTTGAATGAATAAAAGACCTTTAGACCCCAGCTCTGCATTGGAAGGCTTGGCACCGAGGGGGCCAGATCCCTGCCTGGAGGTGCACACTCCTGCCCCCACCCACTTCAGATTGCGGGAGGGTGGATTCAGAGCTGCCACTTCTCTCAGAACCTTGGATGGATGTTTGGAGACAGTGAGGTAAAATTGCCGAGAGGGACCGGAGGTCAACCAAGGGGGACGGACTCTTGGGAGATGGTGGGAGAGAGACCAGCCGGGCAACATGGAGGGACGAGAATATAGAAAGAGCCAGAGGTACCGAGGTACCGGTGTATGTCAGGACCTGGGTGGAGTCCTTATGTTCTCTGTCTGTTCTTCATGACGGTCGGTCTCAGGCCGTGCTGGCTTTGGAGACCCCCCCACCCTCACCCCCACCCACGAGCAGTTCGTGAAATGGACGCTTTGACTGATAGACAGCTGGGGGTGGAGGAGCTGAGTTCTGATCGTAGAACTGGCTGCCTGACGCCACGCTCCTCCCAGTTCCGTGTGTCCCCGTGTGGCTAGGTGTGGCTGCCCACTGTCCACACCCTGGCTGCTGGCCTGGGTAAGGGGTCACTGTTTGGGTGGAGCGCTGGACACACGGGTCATTTTTCTCCCACGAGATGAGTATTTTGCGGAGTCTCTCATGGGGAAGAGAGTCCCTGGGCTTGAGAACTCGGAAGTTCTGCCTGTCCCCAGGAATCCTCTAAGCTGTGTGGGAGAAAGGTCACATGACCCAAATCAGGAAGCAGTTACAGGGACTTGACTTTGGGGCCTGAGTTATCATTGCCCTTCTTGGTAATCGCGCAGTTAGGCGACCTTTGAAATGTTTACAGCTGGGTCTCCACTGGGAATAGAAACGTTTCCAGATTGTGGTCGTGGACTGTTTCCACCCGAGTCAACCGCGGTGAATGTGCGTCCGAGCTTAGGATGCCGCGTGCATGGTGAAAATCCTGCATCAGGTGAAAGTGAGTCAGCCACAGATGCCCCGGGGGACGTTTCAGAGAGCCCTCGTGGTCCTCCCAAGGCTTTATGTACACACAGACTCTAATTCCCCTTAGGCCTCTGTCACACCTTGCTGGTCATGAAACCTGCTTTCACATCTGCTCTGGATCCAGAGGAGTAGGATTAAGTCCTGGCTTTGCTGCTCTCTCTGCTGTGTGACCGCAGTTGGGTGTCTTAACCCCTCTGAGCCCATTTCCTCCTTTATAAATGAGGCAAATGATGGGACTTACCTGTGAGGACTGGGAAGGGTTTGGCAGGTGTGTGTTGGTCCTAATTGATGGAGAAGGTGCTCGGTAAATAGCTGGGGGGGAAAACTGATAAAAAAAAAAACCCAGCAACAATGTAAAAGAACCTCACCTAGAAATTAAAAACACATCTGGCGATTTCCCGTTTGGGAACATGTGCTTGGGAGTGTGCTGGTTACCGGCTCCTGCTGTTGGATGCAGAGTTACTACTGGATGTTTGGTGTTCACTCTGCGGCTCCTCCTGTTGGTGCCCCCAGGAGGTGGAAGGAAATATGGGCTGAAGAGAGCTTGGAGTGGTGGTCCCGCCTGCCCAGGTCCCCTGAACACACCTGTGGGAGCGAGTGGTCTGTAGTCACAGAGGTGGAGCTGGTGGCTTTGCCTGGTCGGTGGCCCCACGCTGTGGCCTGCGGCCCACCATAGGGAGCCCAGAGCCTCTGCAGGTTGTGTGGAGTTTGATAGCCCGTGGGTTTGAGTCCAGCCTGCCTGAGACTGTATCTTGGAAGACATCTGCCCGTGAACACTCTAGTCTTTCTGGAAGTGTGTGGCTCCTGTATCGGTTCACTTTTCCTGTGATCGCGCCGTGTAACAAACATCTTCCAAATCACAGTGACTTCTAAACACAGGCCTGTTTTGCACTCGGGTCAGTGAGTGCCTTGGTTGATTTATCTTCAGACAGCTAGATCCCCTGGTTGACAGCAGTAGCCAGTGGGGTGTGTTCTTCCGGGGGGGTGGACTGCAGGTGTGCATGGGGTGGGGCAGCAGATGTGCAGGGGTGGACTGCAGATGTGCAGGGGGTGGACTGCAGGTATGCAGGGGGTGGACTGCAGGTGTGCAGGGGGTGGACTGCAGGTATGCAGGGGGTGGACTGCAGATGTGCAGGGGGTGGACTGCAGGTATGCAGGGGGTGGACTGCAGGTGTGCAGGGGGTGGACTGCAGATTGCAGGGGGTAGACTGCAGGTGTGCAGGACCTCAGGAGGAGGTGAGATGGCCTTACCTCTGTCCTTATTCCGTTAGTCACCACAAGTCACAGGAACTCCCCCCTCCAAATCAGTGGACCCGTTGTGCTCCCTCGAGGAGGCTGAGCAGGTCTTTGCTGAGAGACAGCAGTGCATCCCCCTGCAGTCACGCTTCTGAGGGGCGGGAGGGGGCCTTCCTGGAGCAGAGGGGCTGCAGAGAGGGTAGGAATCAGCCCATGATCTGTGTGGGACCAGTGGACTCAGAACGGGGGCTGTGGGGAAGGCGGGACAGGAATTATAACCCAGAAACAGCCTCAGATTCCTTGTCTGGAAAGCAGGACTGTGGCTCTCTGGCTCTGGCTCTGCTGCTGTGAGCTGGTGGCCCCAGTTATGGCCCGTTTGGTTATTTACCTTCTGAGATGGTTTCTCTAAGTAGTCAAGGCTGGTCCTGAACCCCTAACCCTCTTGCCTCAGCCTCCCAAATGCTGGGATCGCATCCTTGAGTAGCCTGCCTGTCTCTCAGCCTCAGTTTGCGGAGGGACGAGGGACCTGTGTCCGTTTCAGTAAAGACCTGTGGTGTGCTTGGCAGGAAGCAGGTGGCCGTGAGGGTCTTCGGGGTTAGCACAGGAAGGGGGTTTGGAGAGACTGCCCAGGTTCAAATCCCAGCTCTGCCACTTGGTGTCCGTGTGGCTTTGGGCTGGCCACTGAACCTCTCTGGACATCTGTTTCCCCACCTGTGGAACGGTAGCCAGGCAGAGCCTGGCTCAGGAGGTCTGTGAGC